GTATTACCAGGTATTCTCTTTCATTAACTTCTGCTCATGTCTTTCTTTCTTTTTGCTTTCATGGGGTTTACTCTGCCTTCCTGAGTTAAGACACTTAACTCATTAAATGTCTTTCTTCTTTTCTGATATGTGCATTTAAAACTATGTCTTTCTCTTTTAGAATTTGAAAAGAGGAACTACATTTCTCTTTTAGAGTTTGAGTCACAAATGTTGGTATTGGCAACCCAACATTTTCGTGGCCATTCAGCTATAAATATAGCAGATTCTTTTCTCTCTGATCCAGGGATTAGTTGAAAATTAGTTTTTCAGTTTCCAAACATATGATGGAGAGTTCTTTTTTGTGATAGATTCTGATTTTGCATTATGGTCATAATGTCAGTTCTTTAAAATATGTTGAGTTTTCTTTGTGGCCTAGCATGTGGTTAATTTTTATAAATGTTTATTTGCCGAGTGCAAGATTTTATCGTCATTCCATACCTTGATTTTGTTAATTTGGTTGTTCATGTCTTCAGTATCCTCACTAATTTTTGGTCTGGTTGATCTATCAGCTACTGACAGACGCGTAGTAAAAATGTCCCTCTGAAATTGTGGATTTGTCATTTTTTCCTTATAATTCTGCCAATTTTTTCTTTGTGTATTTTCAGCTATGTTGTTAGGTACAACAGATTCAGAATTGTTATATTTTTCTGATAAACTGTTCTTTTATCATTATTCACTGACCCTCTTTATCCCTAACAATACTTTCACCTTAAAGATACATTTGATCTAGTAGAAATATGGCCATTGAGCTCTCTTTTACTTAGTGTTTGCATAGCATATGTGCCCAGTATTTCAGATTCTCCAGGGATACATTTTTCTCCCCACATCCAGAGCCCAGGTGGCATAGTGGTTAAGAGCTCAGCTGCTAACCAAAAGGTCAGTAGTTCACATCCACCAGCTGCTCCTTGGAAACTCTATGGGGCAGTTCTGCTCTGTCATACGGGGTCGCTATGAGTTGGAACCGACCTGACAGCACCTAGTAACAACAATCCAGAGCCCAAGCTTTCTTTGGCAAGTTTGCTTTTGCTATCTCCCCCATAAGGAATATCTTTTCAAGTCCATCCATTTACTGAAAGTCTAGCAGTTCAAGTACCCTAATTTATGCAAGGGCTCCCAGTTCCAACCCTTTAGCACGGACAGGCCTAAGGCTTTGTTTTCTTTCTCCCTAAGGGTGTTAAAACCCAAGCCTTCATTTTATTAAGACTGACTACCATCCTCCGTTCCCTCTTCCTCAGGCTTCACCCTGGGCAGCTGTACTGTCAGCTCACGTGCTTACTGTAATGTTCGGTTTTTATTTCTGGCCTCTGAGGATTCTCCTTGCAAATGCAGCTATGCATTTTAAAGAATGTTGGTTCTATTTTCTTCAACATTGTTAAGTGTTTAGGATATGTGTGTGTGTAGGGAGGGTGTCTTAGTTATCTAGTGCTGCCGTAACAGAAATACCAAAAGTGGATGGATTTAGCAAAGAGAAATTTATTCTCTCACAGTCTAGTAGGCTAGAAGTCCAAATTCAGTGTGCCAGCTCCGGGGGAAGGCTTTCTGTCTCTGTCAGCTCAAGGGGAAGGTCCTTGTCATCAGTCTTCCCCTGGTCTAGGAGCTTCTCCGCGCAGGAACCCTGGGTCCAAAGGCTGCACTGTGCTCCCAGCGCTGCTTTCTTGGTGGTATGAGATCCCCGTGTCTCTCAGCTCGCTTCTGTCTTTTATATTTCAAAAGAGATTGGCTTAAAACACAACCTAATCTTGTAGATTGAGTCCTGCCTCATTGACAAAACTGCCGCTAATCCACCTCATTAACATCATAGAGGTAGGATTTACTACATATAGGAAAATCACATCAGATAACAAAATGGAAGACAGTTACACAGTAGTGGGAATCATGGCCTAGCCAAGTTGACAGATATTTTGGGGGGACACAATTCAGTCCATGACAGAGAGGGTGTCAGGTTATCTGGTCTGGCATGTTGCTAGAAATTCCTTATTAGAAGTTCTATTCTAGTCCATGAATGGTGCTGTATTGCTCAACAACTATAGAAGACTCTGGTTCTGCCCTTTCTTATACTTGATATCATGTGAAGTAGATAAATACCTGATGTGGATGCTGGATGCCTTAATGGGGTAGGAACACCTACAGAGATCTGCCGTGTGTGTATTCTCGGTTCCGAGCCCTTTTGAACTTTGGGTACCAGAAGACTGGTCTGTAGAACACCAGAAGTTTTATCTGTTTGAACTTACAAATTTGACAAGATTTATAAACACAGTATTAATATTAAATAGCATTAAAATCTTATTACTAGACCAGAAGAACTGGATGGTGCCCAGCTACCATTACTAAACATTTTGATCAAAGATTCTATAGAAGAATCCTCATCAAAAGGGGGAAAATGCAGAATTTCAAATTCTCATGGACTCTAGACATTCTGGAGCCATGGAGGGTAGATAAACCCCTGAAACTATTGCCCTGAGATAATCTTTAAACCTTAAACCAAAAATATCCCCTGAACTTATCTTAAAACCGAGCAATAGTTTAGCTTAACTAGTAAAAATGTTCTACCTTGAGCATTATGCTATTTTAAGAACTATCTATATGAGATGAAATTGACAACAACAATTGGAAAGATTAGATAGGAACCTTTGGGGGCAGTGAATTTATGTTGATGAGGAAAGAACAACTCTGAAAAAGAGGGTGTGAGAATGGTTGCACAACTCAAAGAATGTTATCGGTGGCACTAAATTGTATGTGTGGAAACTGTTGGTGTATGTTTTGCTGTGTATATTCTCAACAACAACAATAAAATAAAATTTAGGGGAAAAAGTCTTATAAGAGTTTTATAAAACAGTTGTCAGTGTCATTAAACTGATGGGACTTAACTTTTTTAACTAAAGTTCTTTAAAAATATAACTGCGCTTCCTATTGGAAGAGCGTAGTCAATGTCACTGAACTGTGTATGTAGAAATTTTTGAAATGGCGTATCTTTGGCTATGTGTATTTTCACCAAAAAAAAAAAAAAAAAGGTTGAGAATTTAGAGGGTTAATATGTTGTGGGGTTGTTAACCAATGTCATAAAACAACATGTGTACTACTGTTCCATGAGAAACTATTTGTTCTGTAAGCCTTCACCTGAAGTGCAGTAAAATATAAAAAAATAAAAATATAACTGCTTCAAAATAATACTTAAGCAAAGTAGAGTAGTGATGTAGCTATCATAAGAGAAAGACAGGCTGCACTAATATTACATTCAAAATACAGAATTTAAGGAGGAAAAGCTTTGCAAAATATAACTAATATAGTTTCTCTAGGTATATTATTTATACACACATCCTATTTCATGTTTTTAAACCGTCGCACAAAATAATATTTTGTCTTTTTATTAGTTTTCCTATGCTTTTTAGTTTTTGGATTTTATAAATATACAGAATCCTTAAAACAACTGGAATCCAACAGACGTTTCCTTTGGAATTTTTATTTTCCTTAATTCCAGATCTTTACTTTGAAATTTTTCCATAGATCAGACTGAGTTTTTGTCTTACAGACGTTCCTATTATTCCATCATGAGTGAATTCAGCTCCCCAGAACTGTTCATCAGAAGCAGAAAATTATGTTTTTTACTGTTGAGGGTTTTTAGTTCTCTGTGCGTAGAGTAAGTTCTTAATACAGTGATTTTTGTTTATTGATCTTTCTCATGTGCCTAAGGAAAAAAATTTTAAGTATGTTTCAACCAGTGACCCTGGGATTATTTGTGTGATAATAGGTGTGTTTATTTATAACACTTTTGCATTTTCCTCTAGGTTACCTTCCGGACACGAATCTATCACTGTAATATTAACAGCCAAGGCGTGATCTGTCTGGACATCCTAAAGGATAACTGGAGTCCAGCCCTAACCATTTCGAAAGTCCTCCTCTCCATCTGCTCACTTCTTACAGATTGCAACCCTGGTAAGAGACGAAATCCATTATTGATTTGGAGCTTTTCAAGATGCAAATGTCTGACCTTAGTGAATCGTTTACTGCTACTACTGTTGTTATTACTAATTTTTAAATTTCCATAGTATGTAACCCGCTTCCTTTTAAATTGGGTATTTTCATTAGTCTTTTTAAGACCTGTTATTTGCCAGGAAGGAAAAAGCATAGTATGATATAAATTAATGAAAAATCATTTTAGATGAGAAAGTGCATTTAAAGAATGCATTAAATTTTGCTGCCAAATAATAATAAAAATTCAAATTGAATAACTTAATCTTTAATTAGATGCCTACCAGAAGATGTTAACTTGAGAAATGTAAGCTATTAAAATCTGATAGCAGCCAGGCAGCACCACACAGACGTGACCTCTTTGGCATCTTAACAACCGTGCATCCTGACAAGCTGTTAGAACAAAAAAGCTGAATGGTCTTGAACTAGGAAACACCCGAAAGTAAACAAGGAAATACTACTGCTCAGAA